TCGTAGCTTTTAGGCTATGCCAACAGATAGAGCAGCAGAGTCGCCCTTAGGCTTACGAGCCCTACTCTTCTTAGGCTCCGGGGTATCAGAAGGCGAGGCCTTTCTCCTCTTCTTATTCTTGGACATTTTGGGAACCACCTCTTCCCCAGGCGGGGCCGGCCTCAATTCAGCAATATCCCCGAGACCTGCGTAAAAAGGAGTCAAGTATGTGCGAAAGGAAATGTTTCAGAAAAGGACGTTGTAAGCATACAGGATAAACTTACCATGATTTTTAGCCTCCCATCTGCCCCTTGCTAAGTCACACCAGCAACGCTCGGCATGGGAAGAAGTTGCAGCCAGCTTCCGAACCCAGTCTTCAAGGTCGGGGACCGCGTGAGGCATCCAGGCAACCGTTGTATAACAGATGAAAGTGTTACACGGAGCAAAAAATAAAGTACAAATTTTACTGGCAATACTTACAAAGGGGTTCCACTTCTCGGGGAACGGCAGTTTCTCCTTGGGATGAGGTCGCAGGTCCTTACCCGCACGAACTGGCTCATCCAACCTCGGTCCTTGTCCTCATCGATACTTGCAAAAAAGGACTTCGATGATCAACGTTGAATATTGATTAATCCTCGATAAAGTCGAGGTCAATATAACCGTATGAGGTGGCTGAGAGTGAATTCCAACCCCTTGGCCTTACCCGAGAAGAAGCGGAGCATAATCACTATACGCCAGAATGAGGGATGCACCTGGCCGAGGGTAACCTAGTATATCTTGCCAAAATCGACGATAACTGGGTCAAGAGGACCCAATGTGGAGGGGTAAGTGTAAACTCTTAGAAATACCTCCACGTGAATGGCGATACTTTCTTTGGGGGCGGGGATCTGTACCATAGCCTCGGGCCCCCAATTGCAGTCTTCCTTCACGACCTCGAGCTGTTTCGCCATTATCGAGCAAATATACCTCGATACGTGTTCACATCAGCCAGGGACCGACGGAGGGTTCTCGACTTTGAAGTCATTTTTAGGACACAAGGGCCGGGAACAATTTTGTGAAGGAGCGGTTCCACCGGCATTTTGTCGCCGGCCAGCCGGGAAGAAGAGGAAGAAGCCTTCTCCTTTTGCGTGACGGTCTTGGAATTTTTCGCCATTATTACAGGTAAAGGGAAGCGGAAAGAGATGAAAATTTGTGTTTTTAGTAAAAGATGGAGTCAGCGGGCGGTGAAAGAGAAGAGATGGAGAGAGGAAGAGACTTAGAAAACTTGGTGAAGATGAAAGTAAAGTTTTGATTCAAATGGGGAACATGTATTTATAGATTCATGGCGATGGTTCGGTGGCACTAGTGGCCGACCGTCACTGGCAAGCATTAATGATTTGGGGAACCGAACCGACGGGACGTTCGGGTCACCTTGGGCGCTTACGTCACGGGGATGATGTTATTATCGGGATCTCCAGAAAATCGAGGTTCAAGTCGTTTCTTGTCATTTTATTCTAAGAAACGAGGGGACTATCTGTATACAGTGGAAATCGGGGCTACCCGATTTTGTTCTTCGATGGAAAAAGTGATACCACGTCGGAAGACCCTTGTACGTCGAGCTCGGGGTCGAAGTTCCTTTCCAAGATCGAGGTCGATAACACTTACCTGGGTCAGAAGAAAGCATGCTTTGAGATGGTGCCGGTATGATTCAGTAACGGAAAGAGCCGCAACGGGCCGGGATCACGGCGTGAATTTTGGAATAGATTGATCTTTGGCGGTTAAATAGTTGTCAAATATGATTTCCTACTATAATTAGAAGTGTACCTTATTTATGACTCCCCTATTATATAAATTGGGATCCCATTCATTTGTAAGGGGCATTGTTTATTGATAAGAAAATATACGCACATTACTCTCTTGTTGTTTCACTATTCATCAGAGTTACTTTATAATTTGCTATTCCTATTATCACACCTCGAGACTATCGCATGTCGAGGTTGATATTTGGCTTATATACTGGTTTGGTTTACTTTGTTCTCTAATTTATCTATTTAATCCCTTGTTTATCAATTGGCATTGAATTAAAATTGCATATCCTTAAAACCACAATACAAGTTTAATTGTTACTCGAATTTTAGGGTAAACAACATCACCTGTAAATTAAAGTTTTTTCTATGATATTTTGTGATCAAAATATTTAACTATTGACTTTATATTTATCAATTTCAAAAATGATTTAAACTTTCCATGGTAAGATGATACACAGTCTTAACTATTTAGTATTCAAATATAATACCGGTACTTTAATAATTGTATATTGTTCAAATTTAAATATCTTAACTAAAAAAACAAATAAAACCTGAAAAAGGAACAACAATTATTTTCCTCCGGCGTAAAAAAGAGTGAGCATTATTATCTTTTTGTTATGGACAATAAAAGAAGAAGATGAATATTGCAGAGAAAAGTAGAGAGAGAGAATTCTTATTGATTTGGGATGAATTACAATGAAATAAAACCCTCTATTTATAGGGAGAGGGTGACTTAGCCACCAAGCAATGAACCCTAGAATCTCTCTAAATATAGACATTCACCATAAATACAATTCTATTTATAACACTCCCCCTTGAATGTCTGTTCAACAGATAATGTGCCTCGTTAAAACCTTAACTAAATAAAACCCAATGGGAAAAAAATTCTAGAGAAGGAAAAAGAGTACACATATCTACAATATGCCTTTTGGTTGCCTCGTTAAAAACCTTGCAAGGAAAACCCATTGGGACAAAACTTTGTAAGGGAAAAAGAGTACAACGCGTATTAACTCCCCCTGATGAGAGCATCAATTCAGATCCTTAAGCATTTGCATTCCAATCTTGTGCACCATCTTTAAAAGATCTTTAATAGAGATTTGATGAACAAATCAGGCATATTAACTTGAATGAATATATTGTACCTTGAAATCATCATTCTTGATAGATATATAATGTCTTCATATAATGTCGTGGAATGGCTTTCAATATCTCCATAGAGGTATTCTCGCTATCACATTATCATGCTTATAGTTATAGCAAGATATATATGTGCACAAATTGCATTTAGGATATGGTACTTCAGGACCAAGAATTGTATATGCTTTAAGCGATTTAAATCCTTCAAGGATTGTCATATAAGTTAAGTCATATAATAGACTTTAGATGCATATCAAGTTTTCATGTCATGCTAGACATATAAGATATCGAAAA